TGTTCAGCTACATGTTAGTTCACGGCTCCCATCAGGCTGCTTTGATTTCTGTTGAAGCACAATTCAAAGCAACGTCATGATGTTCATTAGATGTTTATTTATTATGACTTTGGCCAGTTTCAGCTGATTCCAGTGACTGAAGCTGCTGGTTTCCTTCTCTAATGGGAGGCTGTGAACACATCTGAGGACGGCTGTAACTGTGCATGTTGATGCCAAACATACCTGTTAGCTTCTCAACACCTTTGTGCCGTTCACTGTTTCACCTCCTCATCAGGATAACAGCTAATTCAACATCAGTTTTCACGCTTGTGTTCTTTTCCTGTAACGCTGCAGAACACCTCCTCTCTGTGGCCTCACTTTTTCATCTGTCTGTTTGCAAACAGGTGAATAAACAGCCAACATGCTCATTCCTCCCCTTTCCTACCTCGGGTTCACCGAGAGCCCAGCCTGCCTTTAGCCCTGAACAGAGATGCTAGCAGGCTGGGAAAATAGACAAGTCTCACCAGACCAATTATAGACTTAAAAAGGCCTGGCTGGCTATCAGACAGAGAAGAAGGTGCTGTGTTGTGTATATATACAGGAATAACAAGACAGACAGTTCACTAGTTTGGAGTCCCGCCGCTGCCTGAGGGCTGCAGACCAGCAGATGCAGTGAATCTATATTGCAAAATAATTATTGTGCCTGCAAATGATGTTCCCATAATAATGTGCCATTTGCTGCTTTCATGTGGCTGTCCCGCTGACAAAATAAGCCTGATCTCCCCTCCTCACCCCCCACCTCCCTCCACTGTCTCTTTCTATGTGCGGTCGACCCGCCTGGCTTTAGCTCCATACTCCCACACAGCGTGCAGATTCCAGCAGGACTCGTCCTCCACAGTTTGAACACGGTAAACAATTATCTGTGTAGCCCAAAGCTAGCAGCAGCACTGCCCCCCGCCTCCTCTCCCTCGTCCCCCTCTCTGCCTCTCCTACTCCCTCTCATCTTTCCTCAGCCTTTCTCTGACAGTGGCTTAAATAGAATGTTAATTTTGACTGGAGGTTTTCAAAGCCGAGGCACTTCCTTTTCATCTTGGTGTGCACCGCAAGTTCACCAACACAAAGTCACTCTGCTCTTCAAAGAGGAAGTTGTTTTTTCCTTCCTGTCTGTTTTTTTTAACTCCCTCTTCCCTTTCTCTCCCTCTCTCTTCACCGTGTCTTCTGTCTCGTCTCAAAAAAGACATGAGACATGAGACTCTGGGAAAAAAGCACCGTTTCAAGGTGATTGTTGCTGCCATCCGACTCCATGACAAATGTGAAATGCCTTTTCCATCTGATACGAGTCTTTTTTGTGAGACCAGCGGAATGAAACAAATCACAACAGCATTTTGTTTAGTGAACACATTTTGCATTTTGCTTCCGGCAACAGGTTTTCTCTCTTTGATCGCTTTACTGTGTCACTGGTTTCAAACACGAGCATAGAAAGTAGCGTGCAAGTTAACGAAAAGAGGTTTCTAGAAGAGGCATTTGTTAGCAGTGAGTTGTTCTCTGCTTTACTCACTGACCAGTTCGGCCCACTGGTCTGCACCCATGTCACCAATTTCTTTCCTCATCAGCTGATCGCGGAGCTGCAGACGTCTGCATGTGACTCGAAGGAGGAGGCTGTTGGTCTGCAGCAGGCGATGGAGAAGCAGCTGAAGGAGGCCAACGCTCGGTGGGACCAGGAGAGGAGAACCATCACCCAGCATGCAGACCAGGCCAGCAAGGTCAGCGACGGGACTCTCCAAACCACACCTCCAATCTGACAATATAAGAAACTACATTTGAAGAGTTCATCTGTAAACACAGATAACTCCATCTTTGTAGATTTTCAGGAAACTTGTGTTTTTTGTGGTTTGCTTGAGATGCTATCAGTCAGACTGAAGCTGAGAGGATGTGACTCAGTAGAAACGATGAAAACAGAGATAACTGAAGTTTGGTTGGTGTCGCAGGTAGACGATGGAAAAGTGGGTTTGTGAAGACGGAGTTCTCTGTTTCTGCAAGTTAACTCTTCATTTCTATCCCACTTTTTATATGAACGCAGATTATCAGGTGGTACAAACGTCTCCACACATCACCTCCGAGGGTGTGTCCTCAAATTACATCGTTTTAATTCAATAGAAATGCCACAACACACCGTCAGTAATCGTACAGCAACACTCTTATCCAGCAGTGACTCTGTAATAAAGACCACCCTCACCATGATCATAATTACACTTTAGAGGTTCTGTAGCCTCACACAAAGCCCAGGATCAGGTTTACTCATCACCAGAGCTGCAGGTGACAATAACTGAACAAATAGTCATGTGTCACCGTTCTGTGAAAGAAGAACTTATAACGGACTTTCCCGACTGTTTAAAGCTGGAAAAACACTAAAGCCTGCTTAGTTTGGTCCACGTGGCGTTGATCGGGTTCTCTTCAAAGCATTTTGTCCGTTTCTTATCATTGAACTATCCAACACACCAGAAACACACACATGTTGTAAACAGATGCTCTAACACCATATGCAGCCTGACTAAGTTGCATTATTCTCAGTAACTCCCACAAATATCCAGCTGAACACAAACCGACTGCGTTTTAGTCAGTAAATGTGAACACATCATCAGCTGTACTGGAGGATATTTAAACTGGTCCGACTGGAAGCAGATCCACCAGTGTTCAGGGTTCATCTGTCGCTCCTTCTTGCTGCTTCTTGCTCCCCGATACGCTTCCTGTCCTGTAGCAGGGCTCTCTGTAGTCCTGCAGACTGACAGAATGGGGGGCACGTCAGTAAACTCCATCCTCTAAAAAAGCCTTGTCTGGGTCTGACTTTTATAGAGTCGACACGGGTCGCTTTTCTTTTGTTAGAGCGCACTCACAGTTTGTATGCATGTGCTCTGTCATTTTTATGGCTAGTTGCAAACTCCATCGTGTCTTTAAGTGGCTTGTGTGCTCTGCGTCTGGCTGAAGCTTATAAATCTGTCTGCTCCTCCAGCCAGAGCCTCTCTTTATCACCACTGTCACTCTCTTTTATAGTTCAACTTTACACTCAGGCTCCATTTTTCAGCATTTAGCCTCTTTTTATTTGTCCTTCCTCATGTTTGTTTCTCTGGACTCGGTCTAAATGCTCATCACACGCTGAGCAGCAGTCGATAAGAAGTTGTTCATGGTTTCACTCCGATGGCGTTTCACACCGTGCAGCTCCCTATTTAGTGAATTTGATGATTTTTTTTCCTGATCCTCGTCCTCCTCTCTGCAGATTTGTCTCTGTCCCTATCACAGGATCTTTTATCCTGGTCTTCCCTAGCAACCGGGCCGGAGCACAGCGGCGGCAGCAGTTGATTGGGTGTGGCTCCCTAAATAAAGCCTTGTTGTGTCTGGATCAGGACATGTTTCCAAACACAACCTTGTCTGTTTGTGGCTGCAGCTGCCTCTTGCAGTGAGGAGGCAGGTCTGTTCTCCTCCCGGGCCCTGGCAGCCGGGCCCCCCTCGCCCAGACCTGAAGCAGCTCGTCCCGTTTCTGTGGCTCTCCAGACGTGACTGACATTGATGGCTGGTGCTGTTCCATTCGGGCCAGGTCCACCCGTACAGCGCCGCTCCGCTGCAGCCCGGCCCAGGCAGCTTTATCTTGAGAAGTACAGACCTCCTCAGAAATTCATTCTTAAAATGACACGTTTCCCTCAACAGCGTGTTCACATGATGACGAATGAAGCTGGAGGAAGTCATTTTTGCTGCCACTTTGTGACACAAAGACACGCAGATGAAGGAAGAAAATGAGCTGCTGACTTTTATTTTTTAATGAAGCGTCACTCGATATTCAGTCAGGAGCAATTTATTTAATGCAATTTTTATTCCTGTCTTCCTGAAAGCTCTGTACAACACCGGAGACACTGGTTACCTTCTCACAGTGATGTCTAAATGGAAGATAAAACTGCAGAGATTCTTCTGTGACTCCGTTACAGAACACATTACTGCTTTTTTCTCACTAGAATTTCCATCAAATCTTTGTCGGGACTTGAATGTCACTTGGCAGACTTCAGCCGGCTGCACTTGTAGCTCGTATTGCGGCTTCATTGCTTGTAATGTAAGTGTACCGTGACACAACACACACACACACACACACACACACACACACACAGTGTTCCCTGTTGTAGGCGGTATTACAAGACACAGGCCTTGGCATCTGTGTTGGGAGCAGACAACAGCTTTCTCTTTCCATTATCTGTGTCCTCATTATTATGATCCCCCCTGTATTAACCACCCGCTAATGAGACTCCAATTAATTGTTGAATTGCTTATTAAAGGCCAGACATGAGGGGGAGAGGAGAACCAGCGGGGGAGAGGAAGGTTAGCCTGGTCAAACAGCAAATAAAGAGCCAAAATAAAGCATTCAGACGAAGATCTGGTGAGAAGTTGAAAGGAGAAGCAGAGGAAAAGGGTGAGATGGGAAACAGTGAAGGGAAGAAAAGGGAGACGGATGGAGGAAGTGTGAGGATTGAGACGAAAGAGGGAAAGAGGAAGAAATGGCGGCGAGCTGTCAGCGGGCCATGGGAGAGCGAGTGTCGCCTGCTGACATTGTTTCCATGCTGCTCACTTCAAAGGGCTGGATTATGAAGCGAGCGAGGGGCTTCAGACAATGGGAGGGAAGAAAATAACATCAAAGTTAGCCGCGCATTTGAATTGGGATAATCCCAAAACAGTTGTTCTGAATGCATGCTGCACCGGATCAGATGTCCCGTCTTTTCTCTTTTTTTCCCTCGCCAGCCCCATTCTGCCATTTCTAGCCTGAGTTTAGCTCCTCTGTGGCTCTACTGTACTTGGACTTCTTAAATGTGGGTGTTAACTGGAGAGACCTTTGTATCTCGTAAAGCCCTTTTTAGAACAACGCTAGGACAGTTAAGTATGCTCATTATCTGGCTTTTTTTGGACATGTGACGTTTAGGTGGAGGAGTATATTTGTGTGGTCTGCGTGGGAGCGTGTTATGTGTGCAAACGCACATACAACAGGCGTGAGTGTGTGTCTGCTCGGCGTGTCGTCTCACACTCTCAGCCCACTTTGTTTGAATAGCAAATGGGCTAAATATCAAAGTGTGCGTTGCAAACATTTGCAGGCCCGGTCCAGATTAACGAGCAGACTCACAAATAGCTGCTTTTTTAATAACAGCGCTGAGAGAAAACCCTCTTTTAAACTGTGAATGTGGATTGTGACGCTGCTGGACTGGATCGTCTGAGCTTCCTGGTTCATACTCTTCTCCTTCACCTGGCTCCCTACCTTTGTTTCCCGTGAATAATCTCCAGCGTGGAGTGTAGTCAGAGTAGCTAGTGACCCACTATTCCTGATCCAGTTAAATTTAGGTTACCAATTAGCTCGTAGCAGTAGGCGAGGCAGGAGGGGGCAGTTGTAATGCACTGGAAGCGAGCCCATGTCAAAGGACTGTGGAAGGTGAAAGCAAGATGAAAGCTTTGTATTTGCTTTCATCTGTCCAGCCTATTCAGATCAGGTAAGGGAACAGTAAGGGCCACTGTAACTCGTTGGGACGTCGCCAGCGTTTGGGTCAGAGGATTATTCACTTCCTGATGTCGTCTGTTTCCCGCTAAAGCCTCTCCATGTGTGTTAAGAGTTGTCCTTTGAGGATACTCCGGCATTAGAGGCAAGTTTGATGGCGAGGTTATTAGGATGGCTCGAGTGCGTGATGTGTGTTTGTGTGGCCATATTCACCGGCTGTGTGTGTGTGTGTGTGTGTGTGTGTGTGTGTGTGTGTGTGTGTGTGTGTGTGTATGATCGTATGTATGAGTGTGAATGTGCAGCTGCCAAATCTGACAGAACTGAAGCCCACATTAGCCTGCCAAGAGAAAGGTACAAAGACACACACACACACACACACACACACACCATATCTCTCCAACTCTGTGTCTTCGAACTCTTTCTGTCTCAAACTCTGTGCACACATCCAGCAGCACACATGCTCACCTCGCCCTGCCAAAGGAGAGGTGGCTGGTGAATAAACAATGGCACTCCGCCCATAGTGTCACCCGCCTGGGCTTTGATCAGCACCGCTGTTCCTGCTCCCACAGCAGTGCTTCCTGTCTTTCTGCCTGCCGAACGCTGCCATGCGCGCTCACACACACACACACACACACACACACACACACACACACACGCCCATTACTTAGTGTTCATACGCTCGCTCTCTCTCTCCCGTTTTCTCCTCAGTAAGTCTTTATCTGTATCTTCTGTCCCTCAAACTCTCACACAAACATGGCTTTGAGTTAGTGCCCTTGTCTGTACTGTACATCTTTCAGTGCTGTAGCATTGTCCAACACACACACACACACACACACACACACAGACAGGGATGCACACCTTTGATCCCGGCTCAACCAGGAGTAGTTTCTAGTCCAAGTCAAAGAGCAGGTCCTGTTGTAGCGTCCTGTGGGTGAAGTGACAGCAGACACATTACATAATGCATCAGTGACCGTTGTCTGGCTGTGTTTGAGGATGACAGTGAATCTGTGAGGCGCTCGGCTCTTTGTGCACCGCGCTCTGGATTTCTTGGTCAAATTTACAGTCGGGGTGGTTCATGTGATCAAGGTGCGGGCTTTTGTGCATGCATAATAATAACCAGGGACCCTGCACACACACACACACACACACACACACACACACATGCACACGGTGAAGGGGGCTAGTTGTAGCAGCTGCAGTTTGTCTGTAGTTCTGTACTTATATATGCATTAGTTTCTGAGG